ACCTATGCATACGAAACCTGGACACTTAAAACGGAAACTGGAGATCGCACAACGCTCAGTGGAACGAAACATGCTGGGAATAATCAAGAGAGACCGTAAAAGAATAGAGTGGATACGACAAAAAATAGGTAATAGATGTCATCCACAGAGTTAAATCCCTGAAGTGACAATGGAATAGACACCTGACAAGAAGGACAGACAACAAATGGACCACAAAAATCACAGCATGGTACCCACGAGGAATTAAAAGACATAGAAGAAGACCGAACCTGAGATGGGACCATGATTAGCAGGGATAACTTGGGCCAGCGTAGCCAACAATAGACAACAATGCGCTCAACTACCAAGACAGTATCTAAATATGTGAGGGTCACATAACTGGAAATGGTTGAATAAGCTGAAAATGATGATGATGATGATGATGATACGTTACAACATGCCATGTAGAATGTATATACAATGTTTAGGAGGGGAGTTAATCACCGCGACCTTACAGATCTATTGTGTTCCCCTTCTACAGAGCCCAGATCTCCATCGTCGACATCAGCCGTACCAAACTTCATGGCACGTCGCACAGTGGTTCAGATTGCCAAAAAGTGGCGCATAGGATATTTTTAATTTTATTACAAATTCTAGACTTAATAGGTTTAATGGCGGATTCATTAACACGACAAAGATAGTCCAAGGAATAAACAAAATATATTTCCGACTATGTTTGTTTAGTATAAAAATATTAAAAAAGGGGGATTTTCTATGAATTTTATTCAAAAATTATAGTTTTTAAAAAGGTATGAAAAATGCTTCGAACCTAGTCAAAAAAAGAATACCCCTTAGGTTATCTGGTCTAAATTAAAGAAAAAAACATAAATTGCAATATGCGTTAAATGGAGTCTTCAAACTCATTTTCTTCATGACATGATTCACCACCACTTTCTTCTAGTTCTTCTTCACTATCTGATTGACAATAATATTCTGTTGCCATATGAATGTCATCTGCGGGTAAATCTTCACCTATTTTGAGTGGCGACTACTTTCTCTGGAAATTCAAACCCTAGTTGGACTGCTTTTCCCGTCTTATTGTTATGTTCCTTCCTTAAATTAGAAACGAGATTCCGAGGTGTAAGAATCTCTAATTTCTAGAAATAAATTGATTTTTAATCTTTGCCATTAATTAAAAGCATTAATGCAATATTTGCAGCATTATGTAGATAAAAAACATGTTTTTTTTCTGTAAGATATTATAAATTAATTCCTTGGCAATATATACCTTTGGTCTCTTTATTTTTTGGGACTTGGACAATTCTGAAAAAAAATTCTTCTTGAAGGGCCAGGGTCATCAAAAGATTGATTCTCTTCCATTTGAAGTAAATTTTTATTCAGCCAAAGACAATTGTTGGAAATAAAACTGCTCCAAGTATAACTACATTTCCTCCACTTTTCTGACCATTTATAAACAAAATTTTCAATTTGCTTATTTTTCGATAATATGTTAGGAATATTATTATCACACAAAAATGAAATAATTTCATCAATAATATCCGCTTCTGACCTATTATTAAAACCCATTTTCAAAAACCGCTCACATATTGATCTGCGACTTATTGTTCCTATAATAAAAGGAATAGAGTACGGGAGGAACATGTGAGTCTCTGTAGTTACACTTTTACCACTCCAGAGTTACTCAAAAAATATTAGTATAATAATTTAAGAAATTATCCATGGAACAAAAATCAGACTACTGGTCAATTTAAAATTTTAATTTATATATCATCATCACCTACCTCGGGGTCTCTTGGGGTAAGATACTTGTGGTAAATTAAACTCGGTATAATACCGTTTAAAAATTATAAAATACTTAAGCGGAGATCTGCGGAGTTCTAAAGATACGCAATTTCAAAGTTTATTTTTTTTCAAAAGAACGCTCTGCTATGTTTGTGGTAACTACTAGCTTCATAAAAAAATATTTAAGTTAATAAAATTCTCTTAAAAAGTACTTACTTTGGTCTTCACAATCCATTATAATTTAATTTATTTCCAAGTCTCTGAACTAAGAACCAAAATATATTAGCAACACTAAACCATTATCAGCAAATAACTGATATATTTAAACTACAAAATCTAACGAAAACAACATTCCTGTACGCTTTTTTATTACGATTAAAAAGTGGATAGTGATAAATTTGAATAAATGGACCCATCATCTGTTGAAAATAATATCATTGTTGAAATTTTCGAAATTTTTTTCTTGATCCCCTATGCGTCGATTTTATTGAATCTGAACCAATGTGCGTCGTCGTTTCGGCGCACTCAGTGATAAGGTGTTCTGGAGTTTCCCTATTTTCCCCACAGAATTTTCATAAGTCGTTGTTTCTCAGCTTCAGCCTACTGAGGTGTTTGTTGAGGAGACAGTGTCCTGTTAGAAACCCCGTGACAATACAATGATTGTTTTTACCGAAGAGTAAACCGCTGGGGGTGTATTTTGGTGTACAAAGATGTTGGCATTATTTGGTATTAGTGGTACTAATCGTGGTATTAGTGAGCATTTTAGCATTATTCGTGGTATTTAGTGTACAGAAGTCAGAGATTTAACTTTAGGTTTTTACTTAAATCAAGGAAAATCTTTGATTTTTCTCGGTCTTAAGTTCTGACGAACTTAATACTGGGGTGTATTGGTTGTATGTTCGTATTCAAGAATATCCAAATTAAATTGAAAATATAAGCTAACTATGATAACAAACTTCAACTGGTAGAAGAAACGTTGTGTGGTGCGGTCAAGCAACACATTTAATCCGGTGTTTGTTTTTTTCTCTTGCATCCGTCTAATTTACCGACATCAAAACCGTCTTTTTGAAACAAAATATTCTACAGCCACTCGAACCGTGTCAGTATCGCTTGATTAATTTAATTTTTATTTAGAATGTGCTTTAGTTAACGACACACGATACTCTTTAGTCAGTCGCCATCTTTATTTAAGTTGAGTCGATATTTCAGAACGTGATACCTTTTCGGCTTCCGAGTTACATTTCTTTAATAAAGAAAACTGTTTGTATTCGTAGTAATTTACAAAATAAAAAAATATATATTTTTAAGATTTTCTTCCAGTGAGGAAAAACTCAATTCGTTTTAAAAAATATACTTTATAGTATACCAATTTCAGTAGTCAAGTACGTAAACTAAGTTAACCAAATTATTTTAGAACTTACAGACTAAATTTTATTTTAGGACGCTATAAATATTAAAATTAAATATTAAATCAACAATTAGTCGTTAAGTTTAGATTCAGGTTGGAGTTCAATGAGAATTTTCAAATTTATAAACTAGTCAGTTACTATTGACAGGACTGGTTTTATTAACCGCACGCTGTCACTTCGTTTATTGATTCTAGTTACGCGTAGTAGACTCTCTACGGTTATACAATTACGCTGTACTGTACGAACTGCCAAACTGTAAGTTAAACAATGCCTATTTCTAATACTATTTATATTTAAGATAAACTAATAAATTTTCCCGGTCGCTTCGTTATAGTTCATTTAGCTGTCAATCTTAAACCTAATAATAATAGCTCCCGTATATAGCGTTTAACGCCTTGGGAGTAGCAAGGTACAGCTTGCTATACTAGAGCCGTTCGGTATACAAGGAAGGTAATGTGGCTAGCACTACGCTTCAACCGCCTATTATTACCTCAGGATTGTGAATCCCAAGTGCTCATTTAAGGCTGAGTCCAACCTAGGTACCCAAACTATTTTTATTTTAATAAAAATAGTCGGCTGATGAAATGCCGGGTGTGGGAATCGAACCAACACCTTGAGATTGGTAGACGAGAGCCTGTACCTCCACGCCACCGGGCACCTTAATCTTAAACTTGATTTTTAAATCTATCTCGATTCAGTTTAAAATTTTGAACATTGGAAGTTATTAATAACGATGGTAATAAAAATATTTATTTCCTTGGTGTGTTCACAGTAAAAAATTGAGTGTTAAAATTTACACTCAAATTACACTCAAAGGTGGTTCCTATTTGTCCAACACTGGTGAGTGTAATTATTATTGTTCCTAAGTATGGTGAAATATTGGTGTGACTTAACCTTTTAGGTGGGGTTAAACTAATCCAATTTAATATCTTTTTTTTCCCGAGCTAAAATTAAAAAAGCCAAGAAGAGAGTGTATTTTTACCAATTGTGAAGTGCGTTTTTGACTACGGATAAAATCTTTTTAAATGTAAAAATCACCAAGCGTAATGGTAAATAATCAATTTTTAAGTGTAAAAATGGTTTTAACTGAGTGTCAAATATACATAGTTTGGATGTTAAAATAATTTATCAGTATGGTAAAATACATTTATTGGAGTGTAAATTTGATTTCAGTTCGTGTACTTACCTATATTTAAAATTTAAGGTGGGATAAAAAAATAAAAAAAATAAAAATACAAAACGTTTTTTATTATATAATATAATAAATAATACAAAAAATATACCCTAATTTAGGTAGATATATTAGGTAACAACGAAACAAAAAAATATTCCTTACTCTATAGGCAACCACACATTAGGGGTAAACACAAAATAAAATAAAAAATGTCTAAACCTATGTAGCGGATTCATCTCTCCAAAAAAATTCTTTATGGGTATTTCGCCACTGCACTGCAAGAAAATCTACAAAATAAAATAGTTATTTTTTGTAAACACTTCTGCGTTAATCCTAAACGGACAATACTTGTCAGAAGTTATGTTTACAGTTATACAAATATATAAATAAATTTTTCTTTTTTATTTGTATTTTTTTTGCTTCCGACGACGGAAAGAGATAAACTTTCCGAAACATTAAGCATTTTTTTGTTAGGCAAATTTGTTTAACTGTAAACATAAGTTCTGAGAAGCAGTGTCCGTTTAGGTTTAACGCCAGAAGTTTTTACCAAAAATAACTATTTTATTTTGTAGATTTTCTTGCAGTACAGTGGCGAAATACCCATAAAGGATTTTTTTGGCGAAAATAAAATATATAATATACCTTATTTGAGGTAGATATAGGTAACAACGAAACAAAAAATATTCCCTACTCTAGGAAAATAAAAAAAAATATATATATATATATACCTTATTTTAGGCAGGTATAGTTACGTTAGGTGACAACGAAACAAAAAATATTCCTTACTCTAGGGAAATATTTATAGGTAAACGCAAAATAAAAAATATAATATATACCTTATTTGAGGTAGGAAATCGCCTAGGTATATCGTCGCCTCGTATATTTGTATGATATTTGCAGCCTTATTTTCAAACTTCGCCACAAAGTTATTGGCATTAGCAGGATATAGCAAGCTGACATCTTGTTCAATCTAAAATTATAAAAAATTAGGTTTTAAAGTTCACTAAATTAAAATGACGTGACATACAAGTCCTGGCGTGTCCAAAAATCTGGGATAATCGACAAATGAAAAGTCATTCATTTTTCTTCAGTTAAAAAAGTTTTGCAGTTTTTCCATGATTTCCTTTTTCTGTGTCTTGCAGCAAGCATTTTTAAAAAATTCTATATCTGCTACTTTTTGTTCTGTCAATGTTCTGGCTTTTTTTAAGGTTGGTTCATCTGATGAGTCATCACTATTATATGTAACTTGTGGTGGTAACTTTCGTTTGGAGCTTGGCACCATATTGGATCTTGCAACGGTTCGGAGCCTCCATGCCAGGTAGCCACTTGGGGTTTCGTAAGCTATCCTTATAAAATATCTCCTAAAAATTTAAAACAATTTTAAGGCGCTAAATTAAAATCCAGGAAAGAAATAATTATATTATAGGTATGTAGGTAGGATATCGAGTCTCGCATTTCTATAAATCCGCCATTAAAATTTACAAAGCACTAAACTACTAAGCATAATCTTAGATATTTACTTACCTAACTCGACTATTTCAGAGTATGTCACATTATCTGATGTTTCATCAATTTTGGCGTATTTACTTTGGTTGTTTAACTGAATTTTATACATCATTTTGCCAAAATCATGGGCACTACAACACACAACGAACAACCCGTACAACCACCAACTTGAAATAGGCGTGCAGGAACGCGAAAGCAGTGGGGATGTGCCGCGCGTCACCCAAAATGATGGTTTTTTTAACACTCCCGAGTGTTAAAACTGCGTTTTGCAGTCTTTATAACACGGTATGGGTGTTTTTAAGACGTATGTAGGGCAAAAAAAAACATTTCTTTGAAGGTAACGTTTACACTGATTATATGATTCTTACAAAATATAAGTGAAGTTTACACTCCATACACTAATTTCGCTTTTTTTTGGTAGATTTGATTTTCAAAGTTTGCGTGTCAATATTTCTGTTTAATTTTTCTAAATAATTTTATTAACGCGAGTGTAAATATTAACACTCTGATAATTTACCACACTAAATATCTTTTCTACCACCAGGTCATTTTTTACTGTGTTGGTGATGAAAAATCAATTGAATGGATGAATCAATTGACCACAGTTCTAACCTATGGTATGCAGTGAATATAAGAGTAGTACAAACAACTATGTACCAGCCGTTCAAAACACAACAACAGAGGAACCAGAACCAGACATCCTACCAAAAAAATCCTTTATGGGTATTTCGCCACTGCACTGCAAGAAAATCTACAAAATAAAATATTTTTTTTTTGTAAACACTTCTGCGTTAAACCTAAACGGATGCTGCTTGTCAGAAGTTATGTTTATAGTAATACAAATTTGCCTAACAAAGAAAAAAAAATGCTTAACGTTTCGGAAAGTTACCGTTGACATTTAAGTAACGTTGACGGTTTCTTGTAGACGTATCTGTTTTAAAAAAGTAAAGTGTTCTCGAATAGTTGAATTTAAATATTTTAAATAGTTTTTTCTTTATTCTTTGTATTTTTTTGCTTCCGACGACGGAAAGAGATAACTTTCCGAAACATTAAGCATTTTTTTTCTTTGTTAGGCAAATTTGTATTACTATAAACATAACTTCTGACAAGCAGCATCCGTTTAGGTTTAACGCAGAAGTGTTTACAAAAAATAATTATTTTATTTTGTAGATTTTCTTGCAGTGCAGTGGCGAAATGCCCATAAAGGATTTTTTTGGAAAGATGAATCCGCCACATAGGTATAGACATTTTTTCAGACATCCTACTCTCCGAAGTAGAAACAGCTATTCAAAATATCGGCCTACAATCTCCAGGTATCGACAAAATAGCAGCAGAATATATAACCAATATGGGTCCCATATGTGTAAGACTACTACACGAACTTTGTCAAATCATTTAGCACACCAGACATTGGCCAAGTGACTGGTGCACTTCTGTGATCATTCCGCTACACAAAAAAGGCTCCACAGAAGACTGCAATAATTACAGATTGATTGTACTATATATAGTACGTACTCAAGCAACTACCTAACTTGGCAACTTGCACCCGAACAAGCCGGCTTTGTGAGAAAGGAACTGGAGGGCAAATATTAAACCTTCGGCAACTAACAGAAAAATATCGAGATTACTACACACCTATGTATTTATATATTATAATACAATAAAAAGTTTACAACCAAACCAATTACCACAAAGACTTTCCAGCACTGTCTATAAACGCATCCTTCTTATTTTCTTCGCTCGCGTCAACAGGAGCGAGCATATGGAGAGACTTGTAGTTCAGGGAAGATCTGCGAATCCCGTCGCTGAAGCAGATCGCCAACCAGGTGGGTGGACATGGATGAAAAACTTATGATTACCAACCTGGAGGGTGCCGCTCGAAGAACAGAGAACAGAGAAAATTGAAGAAAGGCGGTGCGTGCGGCCGTCATGTCCTTAGAGCCAGAACCAGAGCCACTACACGTCGTACGCGACGTACGGACTACGACGACAACAAACAACTAATATGTGCAAAATTCTATTGTAGGGAGATAATTGACATACAATTCAGGCTTAAACTCTATTGATTCTATTCAATTTAAACCTAAATAATAATATCATACTAGCTTTTTCTTAAGAAATTTAATCCCTTATACAAAAAAAATAGATTAAATTGAGCAGCATTTCGCGAATATCCTGAAGAAACTTGAAATAAATCAAACCCAATATGAATATACTCCCAGTGGACACAACAAATATCAAACTGAAGAAAAAAATGAAGACTTACAAAGTCAAAGTATTAAACTGGTAGACGCTGGTAGATGTAGTTGGTAAAGATGTAAGTGTCTTTAGTGTCTTTCCATTTTACTTGTAAACGTCTCATTGATGAAACAGACTAACAGACTCCCGTCTCTCATCAACGCTGCGCATAAAATTCCAACGAAGAAATTTTCATTGGTTATCTTTCTTTGGTCTATAGATTGGGCCGCTTCTGGCTCAAAAACCATTAATTAGAAAATTATTTCATTATAGCACATTTAAATATCGTTTCTACATGACTCTTCCGAAGAAAAATGCCCTATCCATTTCCAAACAAACTCTAACGCTGTTCACGTTTCAATCGTATAGTATGTTATTTACATAGCACTTGCAGTACTAATTTCCTTGAATTGATATTATACCTATTACGTTTGGACCCCGTAATTACAATACAATACCACCAAAGAATATATTTTACAAATAATAAGGCTCTCCGAATTTAAATACAAACACAAAACCAATTCCGCAACAACAAAGCTATTTATTCCCTTGTTCCTAATGGCCGCGGCAGTGCGTTGCTGCGACCGTGCAAATCCGGCAACGTGTACAAGAGCAGCCACACAAAAGAGCGTAATCCTCGCTTCGCCTATCCCAAATGGAGATCGCATTACGTAAGAAAACGAAACCCGTCCGACTGGCAAGGTGACTCGGGTACTCCCTTGCGACTGCGGCCGGATGATGTACGTGAGTGACAAGTGACGTTTTGTTTTAGTCGTTGAACATACCGAGACCAAAATACAAGCTACACTGAGAGAAATAAACCTAAAACGGGCCACACATTATACGATCGTCGTACTACATGTAGTACGACACCAAATCGATGCTACCATTGACACAGGGGTTGGATAGTTAATGGCTTTGTAGTACTAATTGAAGTAAGACAAAGTCGTATCGTACGGAAGTATGACATGCAGAAAATCTGTAGTAAAACGCAGTAGTAAATACGATAGGTTTGACAGTTTGTGTGCAAGCGCTACTTGTTGAAACCAACTCTAAACATTTTTAGTGGCAAATTAAATACAATACAGTTCATAAAAATGGAAAATGAAAAGTTTTGGCCAGAATTTATAGAAATATATCTTTCCCATACATGTTTGTCGGATGTAAAAAGTAACGAATACTTAAACAAACATAAGAGAAGTGCAGGTTATGAGAATGTATTGGAAAAATTAAAAAAAATAAAAGCAGATGCAAATTGGAATATTTAATTACAATTTTTGGGAGGATTCCTCATCTTCGTCTAAAAAAACGACCACACTTGCAGCTATTGTCATTTTTGGCAAGCACCACAAATAAGAAGACTAAGGAAGGAGCATAATGCTCTCCATGTATTCATGCATGGTGGGCGGAAAAAGCACCATAAAAGCACTCTAGGGTGGGGATCCTTGACAGTTCTGTTTGACGATTCATTTGACACATTTGAATTTGATTTGAAATTTTGTGGATTTGTCAGTCTTTACGGAGCTTATTTTATGTTATTTATTATTTATTCTACTACTGATAGTTGTATAAAGGTAGTAAATCTAGATGGAAATTGTGGCAGAACTTAAATTAACAGTGACACTATCGCGATTTATCGAAAAAGATTCTAAAATAGTTGGTTGTGTAGCGTGCGGTAGATCTCGGCAAAAAATTGAGTGAAATAATGGAACAACTTTTCGCTAGTAAGTGACTATATAATATACATACGTGTAGTAAACCGATCATTTATGAAATTCACTTAAATTAACTAAATTATATATTTTTCTTGCATTTTAGCTATTATTTATTACTTGTCAAAGATTAGATGTCAAAGAATTTAGATACGTTAATTTGACTTACCTGCTTCAGTAGCGTATCGGATGTTTGTGTTAATAAATACTTATTACTTATAACTTATCTATTTTTATTAGAATTATATATTTTTATAACAATTTTAATAACTACCAACATTTATTCACAACGTAAAATCAAACAACAAATTATTGAGTCTACCCCACGTCTACCCTATATCATAGTTTTACATTTTTTAAATAAAATTAGAACGACACTGATAAACCGGAATTTAAGTCGGCCATATTTGAGGCCGATCGCGGTGTACCTAAGATTTTTGATATGCTCCTTCCTTAGTCTTCTTATTCAAAGGCAAGCACAAACCCATGGCAAACAATACAAAAAAAAGCAGAAGACAAAATCAACTAGAAAACGATTTATTGTACGACAGACAGTAAATTAGTAGTATAAGTTTGTAGACAACAGTGCATCCGATCTGTCGTTCAAACGGTCGAATAAAATTTGTGTTGTACAACCTGCAGTATGATAAATCGTATAATGTGTGGCCCGTTTAAATAAATAAAACCAGGTCGGTTTAGTTACACCATTTATAACTCAAAAACGGATGGACATCTTCTGACCTCTTTGAGCTGGACCTATTTTAATGATCTTTGATTTGATGATTCGTCTTAGCACCGAAAACAAAAAACTCTTCATATACAGGGTGTTTCAAAACAAATACGAAAAACTTCAGGGGGTGATTCCTTGTTCAAAATAAAGGGTAGTTTGCTTTATAAACGTTGGGTCAAAAGTCAACCATTAAGGAGATATCGCGGCACAAAGATGGCGGAAAAATAATGTTTTTATTTTTTATCTTGAAAACGAAAAGCGATAGACTAATGAAATTTTATGGAAGCATTACTGTTATGAAAACACACTTTCTGGTAATTTTTTCACTTTTTTAAAATGAGTGAAAGGGGTTGAAATAAACTACCCCTATCATTCTTGTTAACGAAATTTAAAGAAAAATCTTATCAAAACACATGCAAAACTATCCAAATTAATTTGGATAGTTTAGTTTGTTTAGAA